CCACACGGAGGAAGGACTCTCAGGAGGAAACTTTACTGTGGCCGTAACTATCAGGAAGGGTGAAAATCAGTGTGTCATGCAGATGAGCGTTATTACCAGAAATAACCTTCCCATCGGAAAACCTACCTCGACGGCAGGGCACAGTTTCAGTCACGAGTCTCTGCTCTTTGTCACACGAATCTCCTCTTCTCGACTCCTGAAAGCCCCAGGCCTCTGCCTCCTTCCTCCCTTAGGTCAGGAGGTAAGTCCTTGTTTTCCCTATGAGCGTTAGAATCCTCAGCCCTGTGTGTTCACCGTTACTTTGTTTTTGTCTTCTGCTAATCTGTCTGATGTCATTTCCATGATTTGACCTATCCTAGAAGAACGCAGAAGAGTCCAGAACTTTTCTCTCTTCCCCCACCAGGTCTGTTACATCTCAATAAAACAGGAAGAGGGCCCTCCCTGGTGGCGCAGAGGGTTGGAGCACTGCGCTGGGAAGCTAAGCCAAGCTGTGGCCTCCTCAGTGCAAGTCTTATCCCCACCCCGGAGGTGACCCACATGGCGTGGCAGACCTCTCCTGACCTGCCCGCTGCTCCCCTCAGCAGTGTACTTCGTCGGTCTGCCTGTTCTGCTCCCCACTCTGTCTCTGGTGAAGCCTCTCACCGCACCTGCACCTCTGGCCTGTACCCCATTTCTGTATGCATAAATAAATAATCTTAAAAAAAAACAGGAAAGAAATAAAGATGTTGGGAGGAGACACGATGGATTACTAGTGCCAGCACTTAGCAGCTATGTGCTTCGGGGAAAATCAGGGAAAATTTCTGGGCCTTCTTATGCTTGTCTGGGAAAGGGCTTGGGGAGTCGCCAGGATCCTAGGGACTAAAGAAGGGGTGCAGGTGCACAGTCTTGCCTGTTCTGACAGGGGCAGACCCCAGACCAGTCTCCACTATGGTTACATATTAGCATTGCCTGGGGAACTTCCTAAATACCTTATTTTTAAAAAGGCATTCCCTCGTGACGTCTTTGTGAAGTCAGGGTTGGGGTCCACTCGCGGATCTACAGTGTCACCAAGTTCAGTGTGGTCCAGCAGCATCAAAACGACCTGGGGCCTCCTAGAAATGCAGAGCCCCAGGCCCTGGCTGGTGGCGCAGTGGGTTAAAACACAGCACTATAAAACTATCCGCAGCCACTGCACCACGAGTTCGATCCCCGGCCAGGGAGCTGACCCACATGGTGCAGCAGGCCTCTCCTGTCCGGCCTGCTGCTCCCGTCAGCAGTAGATTTCAGTCCATCTGCCTGTTTGCTCCCTACTCCCCACTCTCGTCACTGGTGAATTCTCTCACCCCCTGCACCTCTGGCATGTACCCCAGTTCTGTGTGCATAAATACATTTTTAAAGAAAGAAATGCAGAGTCCTAGGCCCTCTAGCCCTGCTGAGCCAGAATCTGCATATTAACAAGCTCCCTGAAGATGTACTGCACATGAGTTTCTGTAACTGATTTCATAGTTTGAGAACAACTGACCTGCACAATGGATTTCAGATGTGTGTGGGGGGGGGGGAAGGGGAGGGAATAGGACAGGGAGGCAATTTGGGAGAATTTGAAAACTCTGAGGATGGGAAGGGAGATTCTGGGATCTTCATTCTGTAAACTCCTCATCTGTAAATGTGTAAAACTACAGGATGGGGGTCAGTGACAACGTAGCCGGGAAGCGTGTTCCCACCTTGCAGGTGGCATGCCAGCCCGAGGGAGTTTTCTCCCACCTCCGCCTCTCCCAGACTCCCAGAGCGTGACTCTGGTGACAGGGTACACGGATCCATCGTCTTCACTTCTACGTGAATTTTACTTTGCCTCACATTTATTTTTAAACTGAGCCTACTTTGGGGAGGGAGAGGGGAAAGAGACTGGACCTTATCAGTGCTGAGTAGAAAAAAAATACACAAAACGGTCCAGGCTCCAGACGGCAGGTGGCCGGAGAAAGTCTCCTGAGGAAACGGACAAGACGCGGTGCCCGGCCGACATGGGCGGACGCTGACGACACCCTGCTTTCTATCAGGGGAACTGCTGAGGTTCTCGGGAGTTTAGAATTCAGAGTTGAAAGGAATAAATGGCCGGAGGTGGGAGGAAATCAAATCGTCCTAATGAAGAGCCCTGTGGCCACGCTGAACCTCCCCTGGCCCGGAGCTCCCGCTTGGGGCTCTCTGTCCCACTGGAGCCTTGATTCCCCAGGTCAAGGCTTCTCCAGGCTTTGAGGGGCTCATTCCAGGAGGGTGGCACCCCTCATGCTGGGCGTAGGTGCACCCTGAGGGCCCAATTTCACAGAGTTTTGGACTCCAGGTTTCTGGCTAATGTTTGTGTTTCTCGGCCCTTCCGGGTGGCGCAGCTGGTTAAAGCTCAGCTCTGCAAGCTGGCCGCAGCCACTTCAGTGCAAGTTCGATCCCTGGCCTGGGAGGTGACCCACAGGGCGCGGCAGACCTCTCCTGTCTCCCCACTGCTCCCCTCAGCAGTGTACTTTGTCCATCTGCCTGTTCTGCTCCCTACCCTGTCTCTGGTGAGTCCTCTCACTGCCCCGGCACCTCTGGCCTGTACCCCAGTTCTGTATGCATAAATAAGTAAATCTTTAAAAAAAAAAAAGTTTGTGTTCCTCTCTGCGTGCAACCACTCCCCCCAGAACTGGCTGCCAGCCCCACGAGGTGCCTGTTAGTCACCTGTGCCCTGAGCCTGGCCCGATAAGAATGTCCATGTGCCAGATGTGTGTGATTGGCACTGGCCGGAGGACTTTCTCCTCATGTTTGGCGGGGGACCAGGACAACATGGAGATGGCAAAGGTCAGGGCTGAGCTGTCCAGGTGAACCACTGCAGGCCAGGGCATTCCAGGCTCACAGGTCACCTGGGAACAGCTCCTAGCAGTCACCTCTTCCTTTCTTCTTGGATGGGGAGCAAAGGAAGTTATCCGAGAGTGGACCAGCCTTCAGGAGTGGACCAGCCTCCCCTCTAGTGGTGAGAAGCAGTAACTGCACCCTCCAGTTCCGCTTTTTAGAATGGGGTGTAGCTCTGGAGGAAGGCTCCCTGGATACACTTGGGTGTTGTCCTTTTCCAGCATCTCTCCATCTCATGAGACAGGCGACCATTAAAGATGAAGGTGACTAACAGGTAACCGATTCCTACTTCTTCATTTTAGGAACTCTGCACAGCTTGCTTCCCTGACCCCTCCGAAAGCCCTGGGCACAGGGTTGGGAAACTTCTTGCTCTCAGTGACAGGCAGCGACCGCAGTCACTTCCCAATCCACAGCTGTTTGGCTTCCAGGCCATGTTCCTAATGAGCCACCTGCCTGTGGAACAGGTCAGGAGTTTCTAGGTTCTTGCAAGGACCAGGCAAGGTCTGCAAGAGAGGAGTGGTGGGGACTGTGAAAAACTGAGGGATGTGTCCCACATGTAAAGGGCACTGCCATCTGGCTCTGGCAGATTACTCTTGAGATGGAATGTGCTGGACTTCACCTAAGAGCAGCTAAATCTGGCTTTTTATGCAAAAGTTCCTCATTTTAAATATTGACAATTCAGAACAGTCGAGCAGCAAACTCCTGCAAAATGCAAGTCAAACAAAGAATGTTCTTGACACATCGAGCTTTTCTCAGATGCTCCCAGGGCAGGTGAGGTCCAGAGAGAGGAGGCTGCTGGCCCACGATCACATAACCAAACAGAGCGGGGTCTGGTCATGTCCCCATGCCTCCTGCCTCCTGGGCCAGGGATCTAGTCAGCACACTTGCCTGGGGTGGCTGCCACTTGTGATCTTGATGAGGAAGCAGGATGCATCAGACTCAGGCTAGAGAGTGGGAAACCAGTGCATTTATTGATCAAACGTGGCTTGGGGAGCCCACGCTTGGGGCCTCTTGGAAATAGCGAGAACATTGTAATACACATGGCTCCTGCGAGCTCATGCAGTTCCTGTAAACTGGAGGCTGAACCCCGTGGCCTTGCTTGGGTAGCTTGGCAGCGCTCACCCCTGCACCCTGGACCCACAGACCTGACTTTGGACAGGTCAGACTGGTCTGTCCATCCCAAGGGCGGGCTGCTTTCTCTGGAGCTGGGTCCAAAGTCCTCAGAAGACATCATTCAACAGGGGGTGGTTAGACAGTTCTACAGATGAGAAAACTGCAGCTTGGGGCCAGAGGGAGCCATGCAGAGTCTACTGGCCAAGCCTTCTTGGCCCAGAGCCCTGGTCTTTTGGCCACCTGGCTCCAGTGTTTGAACATTCTGCTCCCTTTCCCAGTTTTGGGCGGAAGACATTCCCTGACTTGGTTTCTCTGGAAATGTAAACTATAAATACACAGTTAGTTAAAAATAAAAAGTAATAAATTAGATCTGAGTGCGTGTGACCTATCACCATCATGGGACACGGTCACATTGTGCATCACATGTGGTCCACCCCTCACGTGTGTCGCCATGTGTGGCACTTGGACCCACGTCACTGACCATGGGTCACACAGCCAGTCCCATGTCCCGCTCCATGGAACTCTGCTGTGTATGACCTGACCTTCATGCCACGTCACATCAGGCCACCCAGTGGCCATGCGTGTCACACGTAATGCACAGTAGTCTTTTCGCCACATAGGCTCCCAGTCTGTTAAAAATCCTTCCTGAGGTGCCCTCCCTGGTGGCGCAGTGGGTTAAAGCACAGCACTAAGCAGCTAAAGCCGCTTCCTCATGAGTTCGATCCCCGCCTGCCCCGGAGGTGACCACATGGCGAGGCAGACCTCTCCTGACCCGCCCGCTGCTCCCCTCAGCAGTGTACTTCATCAGCCAGCCTGTTCTGCTCCCCGCTCTGTCTCTGGTGAAGCCTCTCGCCGCCCCTGAGCCTCTGGCCTGTATCCCAGTTCTATATGCACAAATAAATTAAAAAAAAAATCCTCCCTGAGGACTGTAGTGGACACACGCCCCTCCTCCTGGGAAGTGCAGCATGGCCAGCTCAGGCTCTCTGGCAGGGCTCCCAATCCCCGTGGGTGGACATTGGCATCCCTTGGTAGGAGCTGAAGGGTCTTGGGGGCCATCAAGTAAAGACCAGCCTGGGCTCCTCGCTCTGTAGACGCTGCGCCATCTCGGGGGCGATGGGGTTCTTCCAGAGCCTGAAGGGCACAGAGAGGCATTCAGCACCCCGGCTCGTGTGCCTCCTGTCTCTGCTCAGTTACCTGGGAGAGGCAGGCAGAGACCAGCATGGCCACCCTAGGGGGATGGAGTCCCCCACACCCACTTCCGGACTCTCTCACTCAGTCTTCTGCAGAAGCAAGTGTTCCTAAAGAGGACCATGCTTGCTCATGAGACACATTTGTGCAAATAAGGACAAAAATCTCCCCTTCTTGAAGATGCGTTATCGCCATCCTCTGAAATTGCCCTAATATGGGGATTTCTATAGCACAAAACGTGGCCACCAGTAGGTCTGTTAGGTGAATGGGATCCCTTGAAGTCAGGTCTTGGGCAGTGCCCAGCCTATGCCCAGCCTATACAACCGTCCATAGAGGCTGTGACTGCTGTGTGCCAGGCATTGCACTCAGTCTTCATGGACTCATTGGCTCCTCACAGCAACTCTTGGAGGCAGATACTATCATTATCCTGATCTTACAAATGAGCAACCTCAGGCTCAGAGAGGTCTAGATATGGATGCAAAGTTTCACAATTGGCAAGTGCAGGGCTGGGGTTTGATCCAGGTGTGCCTGCTGCCAAATTCCTGGTGGGTTGGCCCAAATCTCCTTTGATCACTGCCTGCCTCCGCTTGCAGGGAGCCTCCTTACATTACGGGGTGTGGGGTGGCCTCCTGTTCCCCACCCCTGCCCCCCATCGCCCTTGTTACCGGATCACTGGGGTGCCAGCCCCCTGCGCCAGCCCTTCAGCCAAGAGCCAGGCTCCGCGGGCTGTGATTCGGTTCTTCTCCAGTCTTCCCAGTGGGTGAGGGAGGAAGAAGAAAAAGAGAATGAGAGAGACTGGCCTGAGATTAGGGAGAAGGGCTCCCCCACATCCACCCCCAAGACCATGATGGGGGCACAGGAGTTCCCCACACGTCTGCTCAGAGAATCCCACACGTAGCAGTGCAGCCTGAAGGCAGGAGCTTGGGACAGAGAGCCCAGCAGGCAGAGAGCCAAGCTTATAAGAGCTTGGGGCCTCTGGTGGCCCCCCCGGCTTTCCCCAGGACATGGTTCCCTCTCCACCCTCCCCACCCAAGAATGTGGGCTCATACTCCACTCTCTTCAACCGGCCCAGCTTCGGCAGGACCCGAGCCAGCTCAGCCACGGCCTCGTCCCCAAGCAGATTCCAGGACAGCCTGCGGGGGTGGGGGGGTTCCATGGTCAGCAGGAGCAGCGAGATCTGCATGGAGCCGAGGCAATGGATGGGGAGGGCTGGGGGCCAAGTGGGGTGTGCTGTGTGGGTGCAAGAGGGGCCTCCTGGTGGGGCGAGGACTTCAGGCACAGGAGCATTCTCCTCCCTGCTCGAACCCCTCTCTGGAGCTGGTCAACCCTTAAAAATCTGCACAGGTAGTGCACCCCCATGTTTATTGCTGCTTTATTTACAATTGGAAAGACATGGAATCAACTCAAATGCCCCAAAGTGGATGACTGGATTAAAAAGATGTGGTCCATATACACAATGGAATATTACTCAGCAATCAAAAAGATAAGCACATGCCTTTTGCAGCAACATGGATGGAGCTGGAAGGGATCATGCTTAGTGAGATAAGCCAGAAAGGAAAGGAAAAATACTGGATGGTGCCACTTGTCGCAGGATCATAAAGGACAGGGGGGTAATAATAATGAACAACTATATGCCGGAGATATTTTACAGGGGCGGAGTGGGGAATGGGATAAAAAATGGGGGAGGAGGGGGGTGCATTGGACTATGGTGATGGCACAGGATGATTTGGTGATGGGAAGCCCATGGGGGTTACATCTGAGATGCAAAAAGGCACAAAATGATGTAAAAATAAGCTATTATAATAAAAAAGTTAAGATAAAAAAAATCTGCATAGGTAGGAGCTGCTGTCTGGGAATCTAGGAGACGCCGTCTGGTCCCTCGGATGTGCACCCCAGTTACAGGTCTTGCTGCCCCTCGCCCCTCCTGTGCTGTTATTTGCATCATACTTTTCTTTCAATTCATCCTCTCTCCCCACTTTGTTTTCTTTAAGAAATTAATCCTGGGAAACATTTGTTATCGTCAGTGGAAAGTCTGCGCTAAGGGCCTTTAAAAAGAAAACACCAGGATAAACACAGTGCAAACCACAGTATCCTTCTAATCGAGTCTATGGATTCTATGTCCCTCTTAGGCCACTGAGCCGCCGTGACCTGCCCGGGGGGTGAGGATGGAGAATGGGCTGTGCTGGGCCTTAAAGCCGAGTTAGCGCCGAGCAGACTTGCTCTTCAGTGTAGAGGAATGTGAGGGGCTCAGTTCTCCAGGACATAAACCTAAATCCTCCTTGGAGCCATGCGTGTCCTGTACGCTACGGTCAGGCATTTCTTCCAGCCCGGTCTGGGTCCCAGGCTAGTCCTGGGGGCCTAGTATTCCCCTGAGCCACCCCCAAGCTCTGGTGCTTCTGATCCGGCACAGCCAGCAGCAGGCAGGTCAGGAGTCTGCGGCTGCAGTGAACTCTGCCCGCCAGCCAGTGGCTCATAAATCCAGACTCCGTCAGCCAAGCAGGTGCCACATCTAGCCGCCTCCCAAAGGGAAGACGCGGGCAAGCGCCTTTAGAGACCACCTGGTCCATCTCTGCCATCCACAGATGGGAACTGTGGGCAGGTGAGGCTCTGCCCGACGTTACCTCCTGGAGGAGGCCTGAGCAAGAATGTTCTCCCATTCCCGTTCCAGCTGGGAGGCTGGGAGGGGAGAAAGGACCCAGCTCCAGCCAGAGCATCGGGCTGGGGCCAGGCCCCCAGCGGCCCTTTTCCTGGCCCTGGGCTCTGCCGGGTACTTACAAGATTTCTTCCAGGGCTGGGCAGAGCACGAGGCTGGCAACGAGGGGCTTAGCTGTCTGATCGTCCATCTCGCAATAAAACAGGCTGGTGGGGGGAGGAGGGGACAACACAGAGGGGGGTGAGTCAGGGGCTCCCCTCCAGCTCCCCTTCCCCATCCTGTAGTCAGAGTTAGAGGGAGCAGAGGGCCAGGGTGTGGGGCAGGGTGGCTTTTGGGGGAAGTGCCCCAGGCTTGCGGATTCCCCAGACCTTTGTCCTGACAAAGGCCTTCCCCAGGGGTCAGGCTCTGCCAGAAGATTGCCCTCCACCTGCCCCAGCTCCTGGGTACTCACTCTATCTGCCTGAGCAGTGCCAGTCCCTTACAGAAAGGGGGAACCCCTCCGGCCACACTGTTCTGAGCCAAGCTGCAGGCAGAGAAAGCATCTGTGAGGGGAGCCCTCAGACACCCCCGGCCTGTCCGCCGGCCCAGGGCCCACACCCCTACCCACCAGATCTCCTCCAGATGTGGAAAGCCGTCCAGGGCCTGGCTCAGTTGCAACGCCCCCTCTGGGCCCAGATGGCTAGACTGCAGGCTGAGGAAAGGCAGAGGTGAAGGGAGCCTGGAGGATTAGGGGTGGGGGTGGGGGCTTCCTGGAGCCTCCCCAACAGTCTCTGGGTAACTGAACCTCCAAGCCCCCATCCCATCTACATAGGGTCTGGACGGAGTCCAGGACTTGGCTTTGCGCTGAGACCCCAATTTCAAGGCCCGGCTCCCTCACGTACTAGTAGGGTCAGCTTCCCACACCTTTCCTGGCTTGACTTCCCTTGCTTGGAAGATAGAACGTCTGGCAACCTGGGCCCCAGGGCTGCCGTGGGGCTCCGGTGGGACCACAGACCTCAGCTGTGGGTGCGCTGCCTGGCACTTTCCTCGGAGAAGGGCTCACGGAGCTGGGGTTGCAGCCTTTCCCTTGCCGATGAGGAAACCGAGTCTCCGAAGGGACAGGGGCTGGCCAAGGGCACCCCAGGGGGCTGGCAGCTAGGCCAGGACTAGGCCAGGCCTCCTGGGCACCCTGCCCGAAACCACAGGGCGGGCAGGAGGGGCGGCTGCCAGCCCCTCGGGGTGGGAGGTGGGGCGCAGACCGCCCAGCCCTGCCTCACCACAGACGTGGGGACACTCACTGCAGGACCCTCAGATGCTGCGGCAGCGCCCGAGCCAGCTCCAGGGCCGTGGGGTCCCTCAGGGCATTGCAGCCGAGCCTGGAAGGGAGACAGTGGGCGGGGCTGAGCGCGGGTGGCCTGCGGCCTCCCCCTGGGTGGGAGAGCTGAGGGCCAGCTGGGCCGTGGGGACAGAGCAGGGGCGGACACTCACCGCATCTCCTCCAGGCGCCCGCAGAGGCTGAGAGACCTCACTAATTGCACTCCCCCTTCTGGGCTGATGCCATTGGCAGAGAGGCTGAGGGAGGGAAGGGTGGACATTAGAGCCTGCACCTCTGTCCTTCCCGCCTGAGGGCAGCGCACTCAGGGCAGCAGGGGCTGGGCTGGCCCCAGTCAGCAGGGCCAGACGGGGACCCACTGTCTGGACAGGGAAGTTGGGGGGCGATGTCCAGGGAGGATCTCCTGGCCCAGTGTGTGCCCTGGGAGGCCCCTGAGGGGGGGACAGCGGGGTGGCAGGCAGGACTCACTCTATCTTCCTGAGCTCCAGCAGCTCTGGCAAGACAGCTGCTAAGTGCCGGGCACCGGAGTCTCCAATCTGGTTGTGGCTCAAGCTGGGGGAGGGGAGAGCAGGCCTGAAACCCTCCCGTTTGTCCACTCACCTCCCCAGAACGGAAGAGGAGCTGGTGTGGAGAGAAGGCCTTGGCGCCCGCCCAGAGGGCCCCACGCTGTGCGCCGGGAGGACTCAGACTTGGGTCCTGTGTTAGGATGTTTCTCGCGGATGTCTGACCTGATCCCCTCTTGCTGCAATCCACAACCCCACCTTGGCCTGTGGGTGTCCCCAGGCTCTAGGCCTGGACTTAGGCGGCGCAATGGTCTCCCCTGCCTGAGTGGTTTAGGAGGGACAGACAACTCACTCTAGTTCTTCCAAGCTGGCGGTGGCAGCTCTGAGAAACTCTGACAGGCGGTGGCAGCCAGCGTCACTGATGCGGTTTTGGCTCAGCCTGGAGAAGCAGAGGCCGAGTGAGGGGCAGCAGCCTTTGCAGGCACCAGCTGTTGGCAAAGCCACCGCCCATCCTGGAACTCAAATGCCAGTCTCAAAACTGTGGTGGAGAAGGGAGGAGGGGGTAGGGGTGACTTGTACCCAATGTCCAGATGGGCAAACTGAGGCCCGGACAGGAGCCGGGACCCAGCTGCCCCACCCCGCGTGACTGGCGGGCGAGGAGAAGTCGCAAAGCCAGGGTCCCTGGGAGACCTGACGCACCCTCTGGGTGGGTCAGCTCTGCCCCCACCTCTGAGTCAAGGCCAGGCCGAGTGACAACTGCATGGGGTGTCTACGATGCAGGCACATCCCTTCGCTAAGAGGAAACATGTTCTAGTCCATGCAAATGGTGGACTTTCCCTTAAACCCAGTTTTTTATTTTTTTGTATCTTGACCTTGCCCTGGCTCTGTGAGTGGAGAAAACCCAAGAAAACCCAAAAGCTGAGGGACTTGTCCGGAGCATTTTGTTTTCCAAGAGAAATTTAACTACCTGAGTTAATTTGGGGTGACATGACCTGGCCCCCTGTGATCTGCTGCCCCCGCCAACCCTCCCAAACTGTCTGAGTCCATTCTGCTCCTCCAGCTGGGGGTGAGGGTCTGGGTCAGGACCAGCAGGGCCTGGTTGTTTTGCTGCTTTGCTTTACCTCACGTCTTCTGAAAATTCACGTGAAAGAGCATGTGGCGTTGGCTTAACCCAGTGGCCAGGGGGCAAGAGGGCAATGTCACGGTCACTGGGTCTGAGTTGCGACCCCCACTACTCGCAGCCGGCCTGCTCGGGACCGGCATCCCCCGAGCCGGCAGAGTGCGCAGGCCGGTCGGACCGTGGCATCGTGGCATCGGAACCACGGGCGAGAGCCCAGCGTGCACTGTGCGAGGGTGAAGCTTGTTTTATGACTCGGCCCAACTCCTGGAGGAGGAACCGCGAGACGGGAAAAGCCGAGAGCAGATGGCACCGGCTGGGAGTGTCCCCAGCACAGCGTCCACAAGGGTCTTCCGAGAGGTGCCCCAGGGTTTCCCAGGCAGGGAGCCAGTCCCTTGGGACCCCGGGGCCACTTACCGGAGGCTCTGCAGGTGGGTCAGGTGGCTCAGTCCTTGGGTAAGTGCAGCCAGCGAGGAGCTGCCCAGCAGCAGGTGGCTGAGTCTGGGGGGTTGGGGGGAGGAGGGGATGAGGCTGGGGGCTGTGAAGACCTGGCGTCCCTGGGGTTGGCCCTGCAGCTGGCCCAGGCCCTGTCCAGGCTCAGCGATGCCCGGGGCCTCCAAGTCAGCCACTTTCACCCCCTCAGTTAAAACGAAGCTGTTCAAAATAAAACTGTGCAGGGCCCTCCCTGGTGGCGCAAGGGGTTGTCTCAGCACTAGGAAGCTGTCGGCAGCCCCTGCAGCGCGAGTCCCGTCCCCGGCCAGGGAGGGACCCACAGGGCGCAGCAGGCCTCTCCTGTCGCCCCGCTGCTCCCCTCAGCAGTGTGTTTCAGTCAATCTGCCTGTTCTGCTCCCAGCTCTGTCTCTGGTGAATCCTCTTCCCCCCCGCACTTCTGGACTGTACCCCAGTTCTTATATGCATAAATAAATCTTTAAAAAAAGTGAAAGTGTGGGCCCGCCCTGGTGGTGCAATGGATTAGTGCATAGCACTGCAATTGGCCGCAGCTGTGTACTTTGTCAGTCGGCCTGTTCTGCTCCCCACTCTGTCTCTGGTGAATCCTCTCACCCTCTGCATCTCTGGCCTGTACCCCAGTTCTGTATGAAGCCCGTACCCCAGTTCTGTATGAATAAATAAATAAATCTTAAAAAAAAAAGAATCAAGGTGTTCTGTTTCCACTAAGCACGTGGAAAATGAGCTACAGCTAGGAGTATAGTCAAGACGAGACAGAGGCGACAAAGAGAGAACCCCTGGATCCAGCCATGCCTGAAGCCAGCCTTGAAATTTTCTGGGACATGAGCCGATACATTTCTGACTTGGGTTGGTTTGACTGAGGATTTTGTTTCCTATGATCAAGCATTTTGATGGCAGATCCGACGGTGTCTGTAAGAGATGAAGGTCCCACACACCCCTCTCCCACTCACCGCCGCCACTTACTCAAGCCTCTTCAGCCAGCACTTGCCCTCAAGGGCTCCCATCAGCACCATGGTGCCCTCCTCGCCAAGCTGATTGTCAGACAAGCTGGGGGACCAAGGATGAGCTGAGGGTTAGACAAGCCTGCCCAGACCCCTGAGGCCCCCTGAGACACTCCCCAGGAGGGTAGCAGTGGGTCTGAGGCATTCGACCACCCTCCCTGTCCAGGCTCCGTGGGGCTATCCCTGACCCCAAAGGCCAAGCTTTGGGGTCCCAGAGGAGCAAGTGTGGCAGCCACAGATGACTAGCTGAGAAAGAAAGTCCTGGATGAGGGCTGGGAAGAGGAAGTAGGGGACAGGACGTGTACACACACCCACCCACACACACACACACACACACACAAACACACACACACGCGTGTGATCCCTTCTGCCCTGAGCCCCAGCCTGGGGTGCGGGTGGGGGGACTCTGAGCTCCATTTTGCAGAGGAGGCAATCTTGAGGGGGCATTTTCAGCCAGAGTTGCTCTGCGTGGGTGGTGACACTGACGAAGCGCTCAAGTTCAGCCTTTCCCAGGCCACACAGGAAGAGAAGTGACCGGCCTTCGCAAAGACACCCCCTGGCCTTCCCCGGCCCATCCCCCTCCAAGGTCCCCGTCCCTGTGACTCACTTCAGCTCTTCCAGGCGGTGGCAGTGCTGCAGGCCAGACGCCAGGTGGGCCAGGCCCTGGGAGCTCACACAGCTGGAGGTCAGCCTGGTGGGGTCAAAGGGCAGCAGGTCAGGCAGGGCTCTGGGCCTTGGGAGCTCTGAATGCCGGTGGCAGAGGGCAAGGAGGTGGTGGGGAGAGAGCAGGTTGGAGAGGGAAGGAGACAGTCCTCTCCCTCTTCGAGGCCTCACTAAGCCCAAGGCACAGCTAGGGGCAGGTGCATTGGCTCACTGAGCATAACTAGGCAGCAGCTTCACGATATGTGTCCTATTGGGGGACCTACGGTCCAGGAGTGGTGGCCGCTGACCACAAACTGCCCCTTAAGAAATCAAGAAAAGAAGTTGCAAGTGTTAGAGAGATGTTACAGCGAAATCGGCACCTCAAGAAGACCTTCTCCTTGATGTCATCAGTTGGACTGAAAGTTCGAAAACCTGCGCTAGCAGGTGTCATGCTGATATGTAATTCAGGCAAGGATGATCCAGGCTGCTGACATTAGTGGGTGAAACTTTGAGGAAGATCGGGATAGGTGCACTGTCTTACATGTTGCTGTATGTGGCTAATGGGTAAGGAAGAAAGCGGCAGACACTCCCTTAACCAGGTGATCACAGCTGTCCTCGCCAGGAAGGGGACAGACAGAACCCCGACCTGCCCCTGAATGATGTGGGAAGAGGTGCAAAGACAGCCTCTTTATGTTCTGGCTGGGAAGGCGGAGCCCGAATCTGAGCACAAGGAGTCATCAGGCATGTTACATGTTACACATTACATGTTGCATGTCACAGGCCCAAGTCACAGGGCACTAGGTGAGACAGTTGATGTCAACCTCAGGACAGAATTTGCTGGAGTATCAAGGGGGGAAGAGGTGTGGCTCTGTAACTTACTTTCAGAGATTCAGAGAGAAAGAGAGGGAGAGAGAAGAGGGAAGTAAAGAGCTCATGAAAAAATATTGATAACGGGTAAATTTGTATTAAAAGTGGGTCTACCATAAGATCCAGCAATTCTACTCCTTGGAATCTACTCAAAAGACATAAAAACATTCATTCAAAAGGAAACCTGCACTCCGATGTGCATTGCAGCACAATTTATAAGAGTTAAGGTATGGAAACAAACTGAATGCCCAAAACCAGGTGACTGGATCAAGAAGACGTGGTCTATACACCGATAGAATACTACTCGGCCATCAAAAAGACAAGCTCACGCCTTTGCAGCAACCTGGATGGAGCTGGAAGGGATCATGCTCAGTGAAATAAGCCAGAAGGAAAAAGAAAAATATCGGATGGTTTCACTTATAGGAGGAATATAGGGGAACCGTACAAGGTTTAGAAAAAAAAGGACAAAATTAGCAGGGAAATTATCGATCTGAGACACACTACAGGGGAGGCGGATGGATGATAAAAGGGGACGGAAGAGCACAAGAGACTATGGCGACAGTTTGGTGGTTTGGTGTGAATTTTATGGGGCTAAATCAAATATTATACAAAATGAACAATGATGTAAACAAATCAGTAAAGTTAAAACTAATGAATTAAAAAAAAGGTGAATGTAGGAAAATGGTATGTGATGGTTCTTCTCATAGCCTTTCTATTAGTTCGCAATGATTTCCAAATAATAAAGCAAAAGAAAGAATATTGAAAATGGAATCACTTTCTGGCCATGGCATTCACCCTGCACCCTAACATCATCTCCAGGGCATGTGTGGGGTCAGTCCACAGGTTGGGGACACAGTGACCCTGAATTCAGAGTTGTAGAGAGCGGAAAGTAGGGGGCAGGAGAGTGGCGGGGTGGACATGGCGTTTCATACCGGAACTTCTGCAGCTCACAGAGGGCCAGCAGCAGGGTCTGCAGCAGCAGGGAGCTGGTTTCACACAGGTTCACCTGGTACAAGCTGAAAGAGCCCACGTGCATTACAGGACTTCAGGTTGGACACACCTCAGGGGTCACCCGTCATATACAGAGGGGGCAGGCTTCCCTCGGCCACCCTGCGCCAGCCCCCATGGGCTGGCACAGGAAGCAAGGGTGAGCAGGCCCAACACTGCCCCAGCACCTCTCACCCCCACGCTAGACTGGTCAGCTCTCACGTGGCCTAGAGTGTGTGCTGGGGTCGGCCAGAGAACTCGGATTCCCAGGTTTCAGGGTGCTGACCTGAGCTGCTGCAGCCTGGCACATGTCTCCATCAGCTGCCTGACCAGAAGGCTGTGGCTGGTGCCAAGATCACAGTGAGCCAACCTGGAGGTGGACAGGGAGGTGGCGGCTTCTGAACTCCTGGATCAGTAGGAGGGACTCAGGCCCTGGCTGCAAGAAGCTTACTTTGGGGGGTAAACAAGTGCTTATCAAATAAAGTTCCCCCTAAACAAAAAAGTCCCAGCATTCACTTGTGAGCAGGGTTCTGGAGGAGAGGCCCAGAGGAGACCCAGCCAGGGAGGAGAGGTGTGGCTAAGAGCCAGCTACGGTCTGGTACCCGGATGTAAACCTGCAGTGCTAACATTTTAATTTCCAAAAACGTGCTGTATGGATTAGAGATGCTGTAAATCCAGGTACCTGTGAATGACTGGGGGTTTAGAGGGGCTTCCCTGAGGTAGCAGCATTTAAGCTAAGACCTGAGGGTACCTGAGAGGTGAGGTGAAGTTATCCAAGAAGGGAGAGAAAAGGGAGGAGAAAACATAACGCTGATTAGAGTCTGTGCAAAGACCCTGAGGTGAAAAGGAGCAAGGTGGAGGAAGTGGAAGTGGTGGGGATCGCTGGAGCTGAGCTGGGCCTTGCTGGTAAGGACTACACACCATGGAGGAGGAAATGGGCCAGACCTCATGATGTAGACGCCGGACATGAAAGGACTCAGAGCAGAGAACTGAGACATGCTGGTCAGAAGCAGCACTGCCCCTCCCCACCATCTCCAGCCACTCCCTCGGAACCCCAGCCCAGGTCCCACCTGACAGCCATGGCCTCTGGGTTCTCCTGTCGGGGAAATTCCAGCTGGACACAGAGCTGCTTCTCAGTCATGGAGATGCTGAGGAGGGAACAGTAGCCAGGTGAGGTCCATGGCTCTTCCCAGGAAGGCTGAGCTGGGACTGGGGCTCCTTACACTGAGCTCCCAGGCCCGGCGGGGATCTGGTCAGAAGTCAGTGGGACACCTTGGCTGTGAGCTATGCCACTCTGTCACTCTGTCATCTCAGAGCCAAGGTGAGTGTTAAATGCAGGGCCCATTTCTAGGCAGCCAGTTTGGAACCCCCAGCTGTGTTGACCTGGATTTAACAGCCCTATGTCCTCAGTCTGGAGCCATAGCTTGACTACTGCACAAGTCCCAACAGCCCTGGATAGCCCCTTAAAGAAACCCAGGGATCTCTTGCCATATTGGGGACTTGCTAGTGATGCAGCTGTGAGTCCACAGGACAAGAGACTCCCCAGAGATGAGGAAAGGTCCCACTGACCATGAGGACATGAGGAATACTAAGGGGTCTCCTTCCTGACTCACCTTATTTCAGTGATGTTGCCTGAGGCTTTGGCACAGACTTCTAACAGGTCAGGCACACTGGCTCTCTCCACCCACGGATCCTCCACCCTGTTATGAAATCAGACAGAATATGGGCCTCAAAGTTAAGCTAATCAGCACCTGGGTTTTGCTTAAAAAAGAAGACAACTAGGCATGAGCCTAAAACAGGAAATTAATAGCATCCTTAATGCAACAGCAGTCATTGCTACAATCCAAACAGAAAAAAAACCTTGAAGCTATTTTTTAGATTGAAGAAAAAGGTTCACATTATGTCATGTGGCAAAGATAAGGAGGTAAAACTGTATATAAAACATGATCTCTCAGCTTTATATTTAAAAAAAGTGAAAAATCTATATAGAGAAGGGAAAAAAAAACACGGAGAGTAAGAGGAATTCAGAGATGAGGAAAACACATTAAATATTAATGGCAGGGTCCTCCCTGGTGGCACAACAGATTAAAGTACAGCGCTATGAAGCTGTCTGTAGCCGCTGCAGCACAAGTTCCAATCAGGGCCAGGGAGTGACCCACAGGGCGCAGCAGACCTCTCCTGTCTCCCTGCTGCTCCCCTCAGCAGTGCGTTTCGGTATATCTGTCTGCTCTGCTCTCCACTCTGTCTCTGGTGAATCCTCTCACCCCCACACCTCTGGCCTGCACCCCAGTTCTGTATGCA